GATTCTAAAGAAAACTTAATGGGCGGGTTTTGAAGTTTCCATTCTTTCTATTTTTTGTTTATTTCAGTGGCGTTTAAAATAAGAGAAATGTTTTTCTCATGTTACATGAGAAATCTTATTTCATGTTATACACATATCAAAATCTGAGCCTCAATTTTCTTTCTTCCATCTAATTATGTCTCTACATAAGACAATGTTGTCTCCTGTAACTTGAGATTAACATTATCCTTAAAAATAAAGTTTGAGTTTTGAGTTAACGTGTCTTTTTATTTTAAATAAGGGTAAAGTATTTCTCTAGTCAATGGAGATAAGTTATCTCCGGTGAGCTCAAAACGACGTCGTTTTGCGACGAAAATGAAGGTAATTTTGTAATTATAATATATTGCAGGGTTATATTAGTCTTTATCATTATAATTTTTTAATCTTATAATCCCAAAACGACGTCGTTTTGAGCTCACTGGAGATAATTTTATCTCCAGTGACTGGAGAAATACTTTTTCCTTTAAATAATTAAAAGTTATGAAATTCATTATGGAACAGTGACCAAAATGCCACTTTTCACCAAGCTTTTTATCTAAATGCCACGCGAACAGTGTTATTTCCCAATATGCCACGTGCGCAAGTTCACTGGGCACTGTAGCGAACTCAGTGCTGATGTGTCGCATTTTAACTTGGTACTTGATTCGCTGCAGTGCTCACGTGGCATATTGGGAAATAACACTATTCACGTGGCATTTAGATAAAAAAAACTTGATGAAAAGTGGCATTTTGATATGTGTTCCATTCATTGTCAACTTGATTTGTTCTTCTGGTATTTAAAAATATGACGATTTTAGTGGATTATCTTTTGATATGGATTTCATGAGACTTTGTAGTGAGAAGTATAAATAACATATCTCTCTCACAATTTCACCGTAACTCCTATGATTTCTTTATTGCAGTGTCTCACAATCTATCCTTGCATTTTCTCAAAGTCAAGAATGTTCTTTTTTGACTATAATATATTTTCTCTGTTTTTGGCATTCCTCCTTATGCTATTATTTTTCATGATTAACTGATAATTTATTATTGTGCTAGTCGTATCTGATGATGTGCTACATTTTATTTTATTTTTATAGAATCGTAGCACTAGAAATATGTTACCGATAAAAATGTTTAATAAACAGTATATTACCAATAAAAATTTCTCAAGAACTTTTATTCATCATATTAGGCACACAATGAGAGACAAAATTTCAATATTCATTTGTTGAATAACAATACAAAAATCGTTGTTGCTATTGCATAACTTGCTTTCGTCACTAAGTTAAAAGAGCATATACTCAACAATGTTAAACATTCTTATACCATAATGAATACAAGTTACTCTTAGACAAGACAATGAGTAAAAGAATTATGCTCATTGCACGGTATAAATGCCAGCTTTTCTCTTTATGATCTATTAAATTGGGATAAATACATTTGCTTTTACTATAAATAATTTCATATAATAATTTTAATAAACATTTTTAAAAAATATTGATGAAAATGAAATAAAATTTTTTAAATGTGAATAACATGCTCTCTATCACACTAATAGCACGCAAAGGTATCACAAAGTTTTAATGAATTTTAAGCATATCAATTTTTGATTTGATTATCTTTCTTAAGAATTACCTTTGAATGTTTGTTAAAATTCATATGATTTTTTAAAATACTATAAATTCATATTGTCCTTTCAAATCTTATAAATTCTATGGAAATCCCTTTTTTCCTCGTTAATTTAAACTGAAAATACCAAGAAAAATAAAAACCTAGTAATTTTCAAGCTATACCAACCAAAAAGTGTCATGCACACAAATAATCTAAAAATCAGCCCAATTTTTTTTTTAAAAGAAAAAAATTACAAAAAAAAAAAATCCAAAATGCAAAACACCACTATATACTCAAATAGGTTGAAATAAGAAAAGAAGAAGAAGACAATTTTGAAGCATAAAGATACATAACCCTTCCTTCAACCTCCAATGTGTTTTCCCCTAAAGAAGCCTCAGCTTCCTCAATTAACCTGGAATCAAGAGACGCGCTGCAAAAGTCGAACTTCATAGGTGGCGGCGGTAGGGTAGGGACGACCTTAAGGAAGTGGTGGCGGTTGTGGAGCTGTAGTAGAGCCCGTTTGGATGAGCTTTTTTTTCTTCAAAAGCTGTTTTTTTTTTTTAAGAAAAAAAAGTACTTTTCGAAAAAAGTACATTTCGAAAAAAGTCTGTTTGTATGCCTATTTTTAAAAAAAGCAGAAGTCATAAAAAAAGTCAAAAACTTACTTTTTTCGAAAGCTAAAAATTTTAGCTTCTAAAAAAAGCAGAAGTCAAAAGCCAATTTTTTTTTTCAAAAATCAAATATTTTTCTAAAAATCTGTAGCTTTTATAAAAAGTACTTTTAAAATAAGAAAATGATAAAAAAAAACTTTCTTAAAAAGTGAATACAAACGGACCTATTGGAAGAGGAGAAGTCATTGGAATTGCGGAGAGCGAGGGTTTTGGCTCTGATGCTAACGCCAATAGGGAAAGAAACCTCCATCACTTTAACATCACCACCACCAAAGAGTGGGGTGAAGATTGTCTCGAGTTTAGGGTTGGATGACATAGGAAATACTATCTCTATCTTCTCTCTCAATAAATAAATAAATGTATATATTCTTTTGATTTTTTTTTTCCTTTTGAATGAAACGATGTTTCGATTAACTTTTGTAGAAAAAATTTATAATCTTAAGTTATTGAAGAAATAATAATTATAAGCAGTGATATGTAATGATAATCGAATAATTTGATGAGGTTATAAATTTATAGATATATTTGGTAGTAATGTTATTGGGTGTATTTAATAATTGTAATGTATTAGTTAAATGTGACTTTTTTTTATATAACCTTGAGGTATCTCCATTCAACCTCCTCCGGTCATCTTGTCCTCAGAGTACGGCAGTACGTCCGAAGGCTAGCGTCTCATTGGAACAGTGGGTCCATTGAGCTTCGCTATCGGAAGAAGGATAAGACTGGAGAGTATCCCCATTCAATCTTTGGGTGGCACGTCCTCTGGCACCCAAATTTGAAGACTATACAGAGTTAATGGAGCAATTACTAGAAAGAAAAATGTTTCTTTTCAGTTTAGATTGTGGTGTATTTATGATGTAATAGTGAACTTGATTTCTGTATGGTTATATTTTAAGGGTATTTTGTCATATGTCTTATTTCATATCTGTTGCGTTAGAATTTTACTTAAGAATTAATGTGATATCCTTTATGCTAGTCAGTAGTAGAGGAGGTTACAAATTTCATTTACTAGCTACTCTAGTTTTTTTTTATTATTAATTGTCACATAAACTGTACTTATTTCTAATTTTTTTTTTTTTGATAACAACTTATTTCTAATTTTATTAAGAGAGAATGTATTAAAGGAGCATTGAAAATTCACCCATATTTTATTATTGAATGGTCTTCAACAAACCAATGGTTTCATAAGAAAAAAAAATCATATTTTTTCCTTGGTCTAATATTTGAGTATTACAAAGATAATAAGCGGAATTGATAATATTTGCACACTATAACTAGCTATACATGTTTAAGACTCACAAATATATGAAGAGAATGGATTAATGCATGTTACAAAATTAAAGTAGTGTAAGAATTACATCGCTTTTGTAATATATAAATAATAAATAACACAAACAATACGATATTATATGATTGGAAAAACCAAAAAAAAAAAAAAAAGTTTGAACTTTGATATAGTATACAAATCCCAAATAAATAAAGTACGTGCCGTGAAACGCTTTAGCTGCGTTCCTAGGCAAAATGTAACCAGAATAATTTTTTTCATATGATATGAGAGGATACCAATCCTACAAATATAAATTAATGACCATTTTTTTTTAAGGCATAATTCTATTACCATTGGTTTATTTAGAGGATGTTAACATACATACTTCTTACATTAACTATTTTATTTTATTTGGAATGTAAATATTTTTTTAGTGCAGGTCATTTAGTTGGATGTAAACCGCGTATTCTGTTTTGTTTTTCCTTTTGTATATATGAGACTTCACTGTACAAATGGAATATGAATAAATGAATCTTTTTCATACTAGATTTTCTGTTCAGATTGTTAAATGGTATCACATGATTTTTGGCCCTTGCTTTTTTCCATGTCTTATAAATTCTTGTGTCGCATAAGAGGACCAAATAAAAAACTTTAAATTTAAAATAAATAAATAAATTTGATCAACCAAAAAAAAAAAATCCCGCAGCCAGAAGAAGTTTGGAGTTCAATAGCAAAATTAATAAATAAACAGTCATGTTTCCATCCACGTTCTTTATCCTCGTCACCCTGCCGCTTGCACACGCAAATACATAGATGCCACATTGTGGACACGCGCTTGCATGCGCACAATAATTTATTGACCTTGCGTATTCTTCCTTTTTCATTTTGTCATAGGATAATATAACTTAATAAAAAAAAATTCACCAAATATCTTAAGATTTTAAATTGAAATGATTCTTTATAAATATCAGAGTTCCCGTAATCATAAGGTCACGAGTTCGATATCCCTCCACTTGTGGAATTAAATAAGTATAAGATAAAATAAAAACAAAAAATATTAAAACACACAATATCCACGTTTCAAGCCTAAATGGCTCTTAGGTAAGAAAATATATTAGAGAATAATATATATCATTAAAAAAGTTTTCACTTAATAATATGTTTTTGGAATGATTCTTTACACACTTTGTAGTATTAATGTTAATGGCTCACCGGGAAGAATTTATTATTTTAAAAGTATAATAGAAGGGAATGAAAACAACATATGCTTTATTCAGTTCTTTAATAGCCATTATTCATATTACCTACATTAAAAAAAAGTGGATTTTTACGTAAAGGATGGTGGCTATATATATATATATATGTATGTGCAAGTAATGATTATCATCTCGTTATAGGAACTTGTTAACTACATCCAACTATTTCCCATTATGCTAGCATTATCCCCTCCTCCTATGTTCTCACCCATTGAATGGCCCTTTGAGGAGCCCAAAAGCAATAGCCAGAACTACTTATACAAAGACACTGAGGCCTATGAACAATTTTACCATCAGTTGTTTTCATCTCAGACACTTGTTGGAGTCAAAAGATCTACTGATCATTCATCACCCATATGCAGCGACCCAACTATGGTCAAGAAGCTTGATCACAATGCTAGTGAACGTGATCGCCGCAAGAAGATCAATGCCTTATATTCTTCACTTCGTTCACTTATTCCAGTGGCAGATCAAATGGTACTTACTGTCTCTCTATCTCTTCATTTGACATGGATTGGTTATTGCTAGTTAAGAATTTCTATAAGCAACAACTTCAAGAAATTAGGAATTGCTATCCACAACAGTCACCAGCATGCTTTAATTAGTTTAAGGGTTTCATTTTTCTCATGCAGAGAATTATTTCTAAAAATATTAATTATGTATTACAGGTAATATCTAGTTATAATGATAAAATTATTTTTTTTCTTTTTGCCATGTCAATTGACAATGTGTGAGGCGAGAAAAAAAAAAATTTTAATATTATAATTATATATTATCTATAGTACATAGTTTCTTTTTTTTTTTCATGAGATTTTCTTTTACAGCAATATAAGAAAATGATTACCCTTAGTTTAATTAGAATGGATGCTTATATATCCTAAAAATTATTACGAGGGAAATATTCTAAATCCTAGACTCTTAATTTTTATTTTTATTTTAAATTTCTTCCTCAATTCATCGATTATTCGATAAATTCAGTTTGAACGGGACATTTTTAAGTTGAATTTTTTTATCCACCAAATCCTTGTGTTTTCAACAATAAAAATACTTTCTCAAATTTTAGAATAATAATAATGTACAAAGCACGGATACGCTCCGTAAGAAAAAATTTGCGTGTCGGGCTCGGACACGCGGTCAATATTTAGAGACACGTGGTTAACTCTCCGACACGTTCTGACACGTTTTTCGATACACAGTCAATTTTTTTGGACACGCAGTCAACGCTCGGACACGTTTTTTTTTTTAAATAAATTTTATTTTTATTTTGTTAACTAAATATAAAAGAAATAATTTATAAATTAATTTTTTTCTGTTATGAAATTTGACATGAAAAATTAACAAAGTACGAAAATTTATTTATATTTATATTTATGTTATGAAATTTAAATATTTGATTGGTTATATGACTTATTATGGAATCTTGTATGTATTAAATATAAATTATATTATATATATTAAAAAATTTATTTAATATCAAAACGTATTCCAACGTGTTCAAATATGACATTTTTTAGAATTTACGTGTCGGCGTGTCGTGTCCCGTGTCCGCGTCCGTGCATAATAGATAATAATAATAATAATAATAATTCATATTAAATATGAACGTGGACATGTTCATTTTAATTGTCAGTTCTATAACGTAAGTTTTTTCTTCCTTTTGGAAAGCTTAGAAATAAGCTTAAATTATAATCAATAGAGATATCATTTCCATATATGTCAATGGCGCAGAGGAAGTTGAGCATTCCAGCAACAATTTCACGCGTCCTAAATTACATACCAGATTTACAGCAGCAAGTGGAAGGACTAGCAAGGAAAAAGGAAGAGATTTCATTGAAAATTTCTCAGCAAGGAAATGCTGTGATCAGTGAAGAATCTAAAAGGAAGATAGCCCATTACAACTCTGATTTTGTAGTTTCAGTAAGTAGGCTCAATGATAGTGAGGCTTCTATTGAGATTTCGTCTTATAAGGTCCACAAGATTCCACTATCTGAGATGTTGCTGTGTTTAGAAAATGATGGCCTTGTAATGCTAAATGCTTCTTCGTCTGAGACCTTTGGAGGGAGGATCTTCTATAACTTGCATTTCCAGGTGTGCTTTATAATTATATTAGTATTCTTTTTGTGCCAACTAAATGATTGTAGGTCAGTTGGCGTTAGCGAACTGAGCAGTTGGGGTTGAGAACATGTGTTCGATCCTCCCCAAGTATCATCTTTGAGAGAGAGGTTTAAAGTCTTAATTTCGAGACCCGTCCCGAATCGGACTAGTCGCGAAATGATGAACCGATTGAAAATATCTCCAAAAAAATAATATATATTTTTTGTGGCAAGAGGAGATAGAGAGAGAGGGATAGTGTTAGAGGGAATCCATTATAAATTTGTGAACTGATTAAAAGTGTCAACTGGTATTTTTGCAGGTGGATAACACTCACGGATTAGAATCCGAGATTCTGAGTGAGAAGCTTTTGTCAATATTTGAGAAGAAGGAAGGGAATTTTCCAGTTAAATGAAATTAAACTACATAGTCTCTAATTATGATTATGAAATGATCTTAACAGCTCTGATTCCTAAATGTATGTGCATATTTTGAAAGCAGGGATTGTATTTTGCATGGGAGCAATCACATGTCCGCAATATGCGAAAGAGGGCAATTCGTATATTTTTTAGGAGTTAATATGTGCAATGTAAACATAAATGTTAGATCGTCGACATCTCTATGCTTTTATGTCAAAGAGAAAGCAGAAGAATATGGGATAGGATACAAAAAAACAATGTATGTGTGTGTCGGGGGGGATTAACAAGCCCAAGCCCAAGTCATGAAATGTACAAAGTTTTACGGAATATTAATGTATGTAGTGTCCCTAAATTTTATATCTATACGAATTAGTACGCTGAAGATAATAACACTGCATTCCCCTCTTCATGTTACAATAGTAATGTATTGAATTATAAATGTTTTGAGTCAATAACTTGGCATATTGAATAAATTAAGCTTGACACCTTATTGTTAGTATTATTAGTAGGTGTCTTAGAGATAATTTGAAAGTCAGATGCCACTAATTGTACTATTAAACGTTTATGATTATTATTATTAGCATGCTTTATCTTTTTTCATATTACCTATCTCTTATAATATTCGTAATAGATAAAGTCCCTTGGAAAAGTATAGGTGTGCCTTGAGGATCTATGATGAAATTATTATTATGAGGACTCAAGCTCATTACATGATTATGCCCTGAAACTATTCTTAGTCTAAAGTCACCGATGAAGGGCATTGGTTGTCTCGATTAAACTAGTACGACAATAGGTTACTTACATGGAGATATAATGTATAGATATCATGAGTGCATGTATGAAGATGCTTAACCTATGTTGTAGGAGGTTTTGTAGTAGATGATCCATCAAGAAGACTTTACAAGAAAACTTATAGTACACTACAACAAAAGAGGTATACAGAGGCGGTTCATAAGTCATTTAACGACGTTTAAACCGCCCCCAAATGCGCGTTTCAGCAGTTAACCAACCGTCGTAGTTACTATCGTCGAGAGGCTATTCAATGACGGTTTCACTGAACCGCTGGAATAACCGTCGACTGGGAAATCAATGATGGTTTGTAAGGCGATTATCACCGCCATAGCATATCCTTTACAGAAATTTATTAATATTCAAAGACGATTCGCAAATGATCTTGGAATTCAAATTGACGTCATTTGCACAACTGTCATGGAATAAGAATTCCAAGGCGGTTAGGTAATAGTCGTGGAATAAGAATTTTAAGACGGTTAGGTAACAGTCGTGGAATAACAATTCAAAGGCGGTTAGGTAATAGTCATGGAATAAGAATTCCAAGGCGGTTAGGTAACAGTTGTGGAATAAGAATTCCAAGGCAGTTGGGTAACAGTCATGGAATAACAATTCAAAGACGGTTAATAAACAATCGTCGAATAACAAATCCAAGGCAGTTAGGTAACATTTGTGGAATAAGAAAATCAATGGGACACTAGGACACTGTATCTATCAAGAGTACTTCATATATATAAATTATTACATGCTTCAACAATGGGTCACTGTATATAAGCTTCAGAAAAACAAATTAATGTATATCATGTAATTTATTATTAGTGTGGATACCAAAACATTAAACCACAAACAAACAATAAAATTAAAAAAAAAAAAAAATCAATCGTCGTGCAATGATATCAACTGCCTTAGAATAATCAATACAACAACGATTCACATACAACCGCCTTGGAATCCATGTTATTAGAAGACGGTTTCAATGTAACCATCGTGTTTTGCCAATATTCAATAGCGTTTTGTGTAACCGTTGTAGTAACCACCTTAGTACTTAATTCCAAGGCGGTTCACATGGAACCATCGCGGAATAATAGTCGCAAAATACACATTTTCTTGTTGTGTAGTATCACTGGATCAGTAATGTCTCTTTTTGATTAGTTATGCGGATCATCCTCGGAGTTGAGGTTGATATCGTGTGTAACTATGAAGCACCGACACCTCAAAAATCCTGACGTGTCGTGCCCGACACTTTCTGACACTCCCCGACACTCCAACACGCGTTATAGAAATTCAAAAAAAGGTTCAAAGGTTAAGTTGAGTTGAGTTTTTAGTTCCAACTATTAAATTCGTTGGATTACGATTACCATTTTATTGAGTTTAATATAAATATTTGGGATATCTTATGTTCCTTTGCAAAATTTATGAATATTATAAGTTTAGATTCATTTTTTTGTTTAATTATTGAATATTAAATATAATATAGGGAAAACTAGGGTTATGTTACTGGAAAACATAAATATTTCCAGTTGACACAAAACAACTGATGGGCCCACATGTGTTTTTTCAAAAAAAAAATAGGAAAAAGAAAGCACAAAAATCAATGTATCAGCTGGACAAATTTGTGGTTTTGATGTAACAGGACCGTAGTTTAACCCATATAATATATACTACATAAATTAAAAATATTATTTAATATTAAAAGTGTCCTAACGTGTCGAAATCTAACATTTTTCAAAATTAACGTGTCGGAGTGTCGTATTGTGTCATGTGTCCCGTGTCAGTATCGGTACTACATAGGTGTGTAACACCCTGTTCCGGACCAGTTTATTATCATATATTATGGTATTAAGCGTAGCATAATTTAAATAATTAAGTGAAAGACTTTATTATAACAATCACAATTACACTTAAGTGAATAAGTGAACTAAATTTTTTTCTTTCTTTTCCTTATGTATTGCAATGTATTCATTTTATCTCCCTCTTATCGTAAGTGATTTCCTTTTTCATTAGAGCATCTTTTATGCTCAAAACTTGAAACCTTACCATTAATCATAATCACAAGGCTTTGTGCCTTTCAATCCCAAATTATGGTAGCTAACTATACACATGTGGTAATCTTCTATCATCATTGGTCAAAATGAAGCGGACGAATTTCATCTATATTTTAAACAACTAAGGACAATTCTCACTAGCATAATAACACCTGATTGACAGTTTATCCATTTATCATATACAATTGAACAATGGGTCCAAAATACTAGGAGTCTATGACAACCTATCCTAACAGTTCTATTCCTAGAGCTCTAGCATGCACAACAAAATTCAGTAAGTATCAAAAGCCAGCAATATTTAACAAATTACATTTTTATCTCTACAGTCATGCCTAAGCAAAAGGAACATAATATCACGGTACATTAACACAAATTCATATAACTAAAGAAAAAAAAAGGAGTAAATATCAACAATAATAAGAGTATCTGCTTTTTTGTTGGTAGTGAATCCCTCAAGGTATCTACTTCTATCTACACTAGCATACAAGGCATTAAAATTCTCAACAAAAAAAAAAAGGTAAAATCAAATCAGCAGACAAAAAAAGAATAAACAAACAACCTACTTACAACCCCCAACATGATTTTGAATGATCCAACTGTAATTTGAGAAAGCAAAAGCCCGCCCCACAAACATGCACCTAAAGGGTTGAAAGGTTAAGTATATCTTCAAACCACAATTTAATCAAGGCAAATCATACTCTCATATTGTATGAAATTGATCTTTCTTCTTATACTCACATCGAAAAATTTGTTTTTTTTTTTTTTATAAAAATTGATAAGCCTCACTTTATTTGTCTCTCAATACAAAAGAACTTCTCTCATATACATGAGAGAAGTAATCCCGATTAATCAATAAGTAGAAGCAAACCGAAAAACTAAAAGTAAATTATGCGAGCAAATGAGAGGATTTTTCTTCAACAAGCATAATCAGGATTTTTTACCCTTATAACCTTTAATTAATAATTAATTACCAATTTGACCTTCATTTGAAACTAATTCAAAAATTTAACCCCTTCAGAAAACATAACACCAATCAGCCCCTGTTTGACCGTTGACCATGAAGCCTACCTAGGTACACCCCTCCCTACCCTGGTATTTTTTGAAATTTTTTATCTACCCGGGTAGAGAGGGGTGTACCCGGGTAGAGTTCTTGAATATGAAAAAATGGTTGAATTAGTTACCCGGGTAAGAAGGGTTGTACCCGGGTAAACATCCAGAGTAGCATTTTTATATAACCGAGATGCTAAAAAGTTTCTTTTTCCAATTCATATTCTCCTCGGATTTATATTTCTATCAGGTTAATGAAAATGCAAAAAATTGAAGCACCTTCTGATTACAGAAAACAAAATGAAATTAGTAAAAAATTAATACAACATTACCATGTAATTGTATCCCCTAGTTTCTCTAATCTTCCTCAACATCATTTGGATTCAGCTTCCAGTATAAGAGTCCCAATTCTGCAAAACTCACCATTTTTCTGCAACGTCACAACTAAGTAAAACTATAGATAGATAGAGAGAGAGAGAGAGTAATGACCTGCTAATTGGTTGATGGAAACAAATTCATTAGGGCTGTCATGGCGAGGAAGCCTTGGATCTTCGTTGCTATCGTCCATGAACCATGCCTGTCACAGTTTTTTTCATTTATATAAAAACGCTACTCTGGATGTTTACCCGGGTACAACCCTTCTTACCCGGGTAACGAATTCAACCATTTTTCCAGATTCAAGAACTCTACCCGGGTACACCCCTCTCTACCCGGGTAGATAAAAAATTTCAAAAAATACCAGGGTAGGGAGGGGTGTACCCGGGTAGGCTTCGTGGTCAACGGTCAAACAAGGGCAGATTGGTGTTATGTTTGTTGGGAGGGTAAATTTTTGAAATAGTTTTGAATGAAGGACAATTTAGTAATTAATTATTAATTAAGGGTCAAAAAGCCAGCATAATCATCACCAAACATCCAACTATTTTCATAGCTCCCACACGTGCCGCACAAGTAAAGAAGAAAATATTTAATAAGAAACTGACACGTGGAATAAACAATGTCAAAATAATAAAACAAGCTTCCTTCAATTGTATAGTTTATAGAATAATATATATTAGATTAACATGATAATGACTTGAAATGCAATTGAGATTCAGATACACACATTGTAAACAATCAATAATTTGTTATTTTTTAGCACTTCGCAAAAGGCTTATCAATATTATAAGTGTTCTCACAATTGGAAAGATGTACACGTTTGGATTAACTTGATTCTTTTTTTTTTTTCAGTACCGCATTACTTACCAGGAAAACATTTTTAACACTTTAGTTGTATAGAGAAGTAAAAATTGAAATTAAAAAAAAAAAGGTCATATCCGCATTTTTTTACCCCTTCAATAATCCATACTTTCATACTTAATTAATATAAAATTACAATTGAAAAATTAAAAAATCATATTTTTTTTTTTTTGATAACAAAATCATATATTTTTAAATTAAATGTATTGATGTATTATTAAATGAATATATTATCTTGTTATTTTAATAAATATGGATGATAAAAAAAAAAACCAAAAATATTAATTTAATTTCAATCCATAATACCTTTACACTATCATATTAAGAAAGAGTGTAAGACAGTTAAATAAATATAAAGAGATTAAAACACCATTAATTAATTGACAAAATTATTTCAATTTAACCAGAATTATTAAGTTCAAACTCTGATTACGCACCTGTGTTGATTTTTTTTTATAAGGAAAACTATATTGTGCTCGACTTGAACGGAATTAATCAATGAACAAATAGAAAAATCCAAAATATAAAAGAAATTAAATATTTAATTAAATTCTTAAGAAATAAAAAAAAATAGTAAATTTCAATAAAGGTACGACATTAAACATTTTGCAATATACACCGTTTTAGGGGGGGGGGGGGGGGGGGGTGGAAATGATAGTATATATCTCCAAATATTACACAGAGAGAAACCCATTCAACACGTATTAGTCATTCAGAGATGTTCTTATTCAAACAAAAGATATGTGCTGTCAAGGTACAATAAAGTCCAAGCACAAAAATGGCAAGACACATCGAATGAAATTTAAAACGAATATAATATGGATCCCTTTTTTCTGCCGTCACTGCAGATAAGATTTTTTACAACAGACACAAAAAGTGAGACCCACTAGATTTTTTTAAAAAATAAAAATAAATAAGGATCCACTAACATATCCTTGCTGCAGAATTTTTTATTTTCCAGCAACAACATAGCTATATTTCCCATAAAATATATCTGATAATTAGATGACCATTTTCCAGCAAGTACTCCTGTAAATAGCAATGCTACGGAAGGGTACTAAATAGTGAATACTGTCAAAACAATACAACAAGGGACATGGAAAAATATTTGCAGTTGTGCACCTCAACCTATAGTCACTTGAGCAATACGTTCACCGCAATTGATGAGTCCGTCAAGAAAATATCCCTTCCATTATCAGCCTTTGGATGATCAAGATTATTTAATTTTAATCTGATGTGAAGTGGTTTCATGAAAATAAGCTCTCTCAAATCACCCTTAAATTGCAACAAAAATGCATTCCATAAATCTCTCTCTGTTTTCCCAGTTCTCTTAGAGCTCATAATATCAAGTATCCTTGCTGCTTGTTTCTCCCGGTTGCCTTCATCTATGTTTGGGACTTTTCTAAGTTTAAAATACATTGCAGCGTAAATAATAACCTGTATTAAATGAAAAAGACATTAGTTCGTTGTCATATGAAGTAGCTCATAATATCAGTACTCATAATCTTGAAGTAGCTCAATGATGACCAATACCAAAGTTCATTGTCATATGAAGACTTCAAGCGGTCCACTACGGTACTCCATTGAAAAAAGGGAGTAAGGGTTCGCTAGAGTACTCCTTTTCAAAAAAGTGAGTACCGTATTATCTTTTTAAATTTACAGATTGAGTAATGTAAGTTTGTAATTTGGAGACCCAGTAATAAAAGTAATTTTTTTTTGTATGAACCTGGAGGTATTTTCATTCAACCTTCTTTGGCCACCTTGTCCTCGGAGTACGGCACCAAAGGCTACCTTCTTATTGGAAGGAGAGAATTGGACTTTGCCACTGGAGAAAGAATGACTAATCCCCCCTCGAGGAGAGAGGCATGTCTTCTGACTCCCAAAGATTTTTCAAAAATTTGCTTTTCCCAGAGTTTGAACCCATGACCAAAGCAAAGTAATAAAAGTAATTAACTTTAATAGTTAAGACCTTGACTTCTATGTTGGGCTATGACAAGTGGCCCAAGTCTGGCAATGTAAAGGAGTCCGTTGTAGTTAGTTAGAGCAGAAAGAGAACGGCTGTTATATGAGTGGAATTTACTCGCGCATGAGTAAAATTTTCTGAGTGGGTATTGGCGATCTCTTGAGGACTTGGGTTGCTGGTTCTAAAGAGGGAGCTTGGGAGGCCCTTTTAATGTCTTGTTTAATCTTTTTTTGCTTCTTAGTGGGTATTTTCTGTTTCTTCTTTTAGTAATTTCATGTTTTCTACATTTCAATTTTCTGTATGTATTACTATAAGGAGCTAGTCTCCTCTATTCTTTAATAGAAATACAGTTCTATCAATTTGGTATCAAAGCACTTAATCTTAGGGATGATTTCTAGTCTTTTTAAGAAATGAAAACCATTGAAGTACATATTGGAGCTTTGGAGAAAAACAAAATGTCAAAATTCAAAGAAATGTTGAAAAATATGTTGAAGATTCTAGACAAGGTGATAGAGGAGACACAACCCTCGAAATCAAGAAGAAGCCCAATTATGATGGCAATATTCAGTCCTGGAAAGATGCAGAATAGGCAGAAATAGAAGAACAAAAAATGAAAAAGGAGAAGAAAATGAAGAACAAGAGCGAGAAGTAGAAGACAAAGATTGGTCTTCCGTTCTGTATAATGGACCAGAAATTATAGGGACAAAACAGTGCCTCCATCTCATTGATGATTTGGAGCAAATGATGGCGTTAACACAATGCGTGTAGGAGAAGGAGAACGTTCAAGGTCGGATAACCACATGTATGGGTTGTTTGGGAGACAGGTTAGAAAACAGTACTGGTTTTAATGGGCGTTTTAAATCTCAATGTTAAAGATCGTTTTAAACTTCCTTATGCTTCTCTGGTATGGTCTTCCACTAATACTTTGGGCAGTAACACATCATGACATTCATGACCATCATTTTTGTTACGATCCAATTACATTGTATTGGAATTGGAATCCCAGATCAGAAACATAAGGTTCTGGTGTGGGATTTATATGGACTTTGGGCTCTCCTATCTTACAAGCTAACTTTTAAGGTGAGGCGCTCTCAAGGTTTGTATCAACTAGTATCAGAGCCTTTCACTATGTCTCCCAATTGCAATCGAGCTGCACGGCTAGTGAAACTGGCATTGCAGTGTTCACCCAAGGTTAGTAAAAAGAAACCAGCGCCAAGCCAGCCCGTGTGGGAGCCTGGACTGCAGAGCGTGGTGGGATGTTATGATCCAATTACAATGTATGGGAATTGGAGTCCCATGTGAAAACATAAGGTTCAGCTGTAGGGTTTATATAAACTTTGGGTTCTCCTACCTTATGATGGAACTAAGAAATCAAATAATCACAAATAAATTTGTATGAAATTATTTCTGATATATTGATAACGAGAAAATAACAGAGCAATGCTCCTTACAACGATGGAGTTACTAAGAACCAGAGACACTCTTAAGCAAGACACTTTTAACTGAAGAAAATAACCCTCAAGAGGTCCACCATGGATCCTCTAAATTCCCCAACTGACTCACTATTTTCCTCCCCTTTTTGGGATGCTGCCATCCCTAATAAATCCCCCACACCCTCAGTCTTTTTCCCTCCACACCCCCTTCTAACTAACTTCTTTTCCTTCTCCCACGCGCGCACTGTGATCATTCTCCACGTGAAGCTCTTTCTCCACGTCATGTCTCTGAAGAAAAGAAGAAGTGGAAGAAGTGTTTTATCTGAATAATACTTTCTTGATTCATTGAGAGACCCAATGGGTCCTTTTTATATTGAGTACATCCAACTACCTCAACTACTTTAATAAATATACAACCACCAACTACATCAATAAATATCCAACTACCAACTAAATATACAACTACCAACTACATCAATAAATACTATCTAGAATATTCTACATATTCTACACCCCCCCTCAAGTTGGGAGATATATATTGATCATTCCCAACTTGCTGATCAAATTCTCAAAGGTCGGCTTAAGTAATCCTTTGGTGAGGATATCCGCCGTCTGTTCCTTAGTGGGTATATATGTCAAGCATACACTACCGTCTTCTAATTTCTCTTTGATAAAGTGACGATCAACTTCCACATGTTTTGTTCTGTCATGATGAACAGGATTTTGAGCAATGCTGACAGCAGCCTTATTATCACAATATAATCTGATAGGTAGGGAATAAGAGATCTTCAACTCCTCTAGAAGCCTTCGTAACCAAATTCCTTCACAAATACCATGGGCTAGAGCCCAAAATTCCGCTTCTGCACTGCTTCTTGCAACAACAGTTTGTTTCTTACTTCTCCAGGTCACAAGGTTTCCCCAGACATAAGTACAATATCCTGAAGTAGATCTTCGGTCCATTGCAGAGCCAGCCCAGTCTGTATCTGTATAGATTTCAATCATCCTTTTGTGCCCCTTTTTAAAGAAAATTCCTCGACCAGGGGTATTTTTGAGGTATTTGAGAATTCTATAAACAGCACTAAGGTGTTTTTCCTTAGGAGAATGCATGAATTGGCTAACCATGCTCACAGCAAAAGCAATATCAGGACGAATGTGAGACAAATAGATTAATTTTCCCACTAGTCTCTGGTACTGCTCCCTATCAACATCTTCCTCGTCCTCAACTCCCATCTTGATATTAGCTTCAATTGGAGTCTCTGCCGGCTTGCACCCAAGCATACCTGTTTCTTGCAACAGGTCTAGAATGTATTTTTTCTGAGTTAAAGAAATTCCTTCCTTACTCCGAGCAATTTCCATGCCAAGGAAATATTTGAGAGATCCAAGATCTTTTAGTTCAAACTGGTCAGCTAAATATTTTTTTAAAGAACTTATCTCCTCGCTATCATTACCAGTGACAATTATGTCATCAACATAAACGATCAGAATAGCGATTCTTCCTTTGTCGGAGTGTTTAAAAAATAAAGTGTGATCAGTCTGAGCTTGGGTGAACCCTCTTCCTTAACAGCTTGAGGAAATTTCCCAAACCATTCTCTGGGAGATTGTTTAAGTCCATAGAGAGACTTCTGCAACTTGCACACAGAACCATCCCCTTTTTCAAAACCAGGAGGTGGATCCATGTAAACTTCCTCATGGAGATCACCATTCAAGAAGGCATTCTTAACATCTAACTGTTGCAATGGCCAATCAAGGTTGGCGACAAGAGATAGCAAAACGCGGATAGTGTTGAGTTTGGCAACACGAGCAAATGTCTCCTGATAATCTATCCCATGAGTCTGAGTAAATCCCTTAGCAACTAATCTGGCCTTATACCTATTGATGCTATTGTCTGCATTGAATTTTATTGTGAACACCCACTTGCAACCAACAGTTTTCTTTCCTTTAGGTAATGTCACAAACTCTCATGTTCCATTTTTTGTAAGTGCATCCATTTCTTCTAATACTGCATTCCTCCATTTTGGGTCATCAAGTGCTTCTTGGATATTTTTGGGTATCCTGGTACTATCTAACATAGTGTTGAAAGCACGAAAATCTGAAGACAACTTTTCATATGAGATATAATGGAAAATAGGATGAGCAGTGGAAGATCTAGTACCTTTCCGAAGAGCAATAGGCATATCAACGTTGGCTGTACTAGTACATTCAAGTGGGTTGCTGGAACAAGGACTCGAGTCAGGATCCTGGCAGTCTAGAGTATCTTATGTGTTTTGCGCCTGCTGTAAAATTTTCCCCATTTACCAGGAGGATCACAAGGAGGATCATTAGATTCAGGTATAGTTGCTCCCCCTGTTTCCTTCCCAATAACTCCACCTGTTTCCAAAGGCCAAGGTAAGACAGCAGCATCATTTGGTTTCCCAGGCTTATCTTCATCCATACCAATACCAATAGACTCCCCCTGAAGAGAAGTCGGGGAAAAAAAGGATTGTGTCTCATAAAAGGTAACTATAAAGAACCTTGGGATACACCACCCCAAAAGCTAGCTCAAAAGGTGGGAGTGCCCAAGACCTTATAAACTCCACATTAGTTGCACATACAACCAATGTGGGACTATATATCTCAACACGCCCCCTCACACGAGAGCCCATTGGGCTTGAAGAGTGGACAATGCAACAGGCTCAGCCTACCTGTGCTAAGAAATGCCACAAGAGAAAGTGGGGGACGACGAGGCTCTGATACCATGTAAAGAACCTTGGGATACACCACCCCAAAAGCTAGCTCAAAGGGTGGGAGTGCCCAAGACCTTATAAACTCCACATTAGTTGCACATACAACCAATGTGGGACTATATATCTCAACAGTAACATCCATGGAAACAAAAACCTTACAGAGAGAAGGTGAGTAACACTTATAACCTTTTTGATTAGGGGAATATCCTATGAAGACACATCTGATGGATTTAAGGTCAAGTTTGGACCTTTGATGTGGAGGAATATGCACAAAAACCACACAGCCAAATATTTTGGGAGGAAGAGAAGAAAGAGCAC